AGGAAACAGAGAAGACAAAAACAAACAGAGGAAAGAAAAGATGTGGCCTGTTCAATACTGTCATCAGAAAAGGGAAATCAACTTCACTTGCATTGTTGAGCTTAAGGATGTGTTTCCACCACATGCAGGTGGGTGCACACTTTGATTCCAGCTTTCAGACAGACTTGTTGTGGTTGATAGGTCTCCTTTTAACACTTAGACAAAGCGTTAAAAGGAGAAAAGAAAGTGATATCCCCAATGTGTGAAACACAATTCAATCTCTTCCCTCATGGAAGTTTTATTACAGTTGAAGCAAAGGCTGTATATACTGTATATCAACCCTCCACTCACCTCACACTGTCCACATTTGGTCTAGAGCAGCTACATGTCACAGTGACACAAACTTGGATTTCACAGGGTTCACTTTAGACCACAACAGTGTGACTGACATCATGATAATGGAAGAAAATGTCAATTGTCACAGTAATGAAGAAGAAGCAGCTTTATTTCATTGTGACACAAACAATGAAATTTTGTTTGGACCTGAGGGCCCTGGGCCGCAGCGTACATACGCGCCACCATCACGGGCAACTTGGGGGGTTCAGTGTCTTGCCCAAGAACGCTTCAACATGTGGACTGCAGGCACTGAGATTTGAACCTGCTGGAGACTGCTGCTCTACCCGCTACCTCCCCCCTTGAAACTGCAGGATTCATTGGATGTAGCCAAATTTATTGCCATAATACGCAATAATTCAGACAATTCAGTCAGCAGCCAATAAAATTTGCTTCAGTAAGAATGTTGAAAATGCAGTAGAAGGTGGACATTTTCTTGCTATTTATAAGGCATAAAAAACACCACCGGGCAGGTGTAAAGTAACTACAGACAGATTCAGTAGAAAACAAGATCAAACATGTTGCAGGAGTTTTTTCCTCACTCAGCAGTTCGACTGCTGTGTAGCACCTGTGTTCTCAATGCTGCCACTGATGCTTTAATAATACTCAAGGATACTACTGAATTAAAAAGTCTCCTTTATACATCTTATTTGTCTTTTAATGTTTTTTCTCCACTTTGTAATTGTAACTGCTTGTAAGATGGCTTACCATTCAGTAAGATCATGCGTTTAACCTTCTTCCCACAGCACTGTCTTGGTTTCATTATGTTAACTACTTGGTTAGGTTGAAGACAGGTTAGGTGAAAAAACACACTGGAATGAAACCCTGCTTATCTGGGGAAAGGTCCTATGTTTTATGTTGCTGAAAATAAGGTTGCCGAGAGAGTTCTTGGACAGTAACAACCAACTGACTAAAACAGATATAAATGCTCTGATAGGAGCTGTGTGGTGGAGCGCTGTCTCTGCGGGTTTGTCGCTACAGGTGACACCTTCAGCTTTGCACAGGTGTCACATTTTATCCACTATTAATATAAAAACAATGAGTACAGCTTTAAATTTAAACCGGCTTGAATGGATTTAATCATGAAAAAAAAAAGTCTCTGCATAACAGTCTTATAACAATTTTTATAATTATATGATGATGATAAGATAAGATTTTGGTTGTAATTAGTGGAAAAATGTTATGGCCAATTTTCAAATAATCACACCCACCTGAGACATTCTGCACTGCCTCTACCTACTGGCTTGCATATTTAATTTCTATAAGTCCTTAAAACATGATTAAATAATTTGCTTTTTCTTTAACTTGTTATGAAAGAATGCAAATCCTTTATACTTTCTGTAACAAAGTGAAACATGTTGCAATATCATATTTCTTTGTTGTTGACAAAGTTCTGAAAAATCCCTCCTCATGGTGATGGGACTTTATCTTGATACATAGGCAGATATTCATCAAATTCTGTGATTGGGAACAAGCCTTTTTTCCATTTGGGCATATGGTGTGGGAGGAATTTTTGCTTGTACTTTAGAGAGTGAGTACCAGCTCAGTAATTTCAGACAAGTAATCAAAGCACACAGTGTTCTTCACACCTAAGCCTACATGAACTGTTTTGCTAATGAGAAGGCTCTTTTTGTCAGGAAAAAGAAAGCGACAAGAGAAGACACGTATGCTGTACATTTAACTGGATCAACACATAATGAGTCCAAAGATAACAACATCCTATTAAACATGTTAGATTTTGTCAGATGGTGACATGGAGCACTGTATACTCTCAAGACCGAAGCATGCAGATATGCACTCTCTCTAATTACACACTCAAAAAGGAGTTAGAAACCAGGAAATAATTTAAAATGTCATCTAGTTTAAGGTAAGCACTGATGGAAAAAAAAACACCAGCCAGTGAGTGAGGGACAAAGAGACAGCTAAAGTTATCTCTGGAAAGAAATAAGGCAGTGGCTTCTTGTTGCATAAAATATTTTTTTAACAATGAGTGAAATCAGCTGTGGTCTTGTTAAAGGTGACAGTGATTAATCACCACTAATGCTCCAGTTTCCCTCATTTCAGCCACCTTCAGCTCACTGGGCCTAATGGCACCTTTGACATGAACAGATCTGTTGTTAAGCACCACATGCAAGCAATTTATGAGATTTGTGGGATTCGCCAATTTTATTATATTCACATTTCTTTTAGAAACAGTAGTAGTCAGGTGATGACAGTTCCAGAGCTGATCAACTCTGACTCTTCAACACACCCAACAACCACGGGCTTCTCTAAGCAACTGTCTAAGGGGCTGAACAAGAAGCATTCACAGGACACGTCCAGAGCTCTCTCACCCCTCTGCCTGCAGGCAGCAGAAAAGCTGAAGATGTCTGGACCCAACAACCTATATAATATTAATCATTTTTGGGCTAGCCCATGCTACAAGGGGCGTCAAACCGTGACGCCACCCGATAAGCAAGCTTTGCAGCTGCTCTATCGTTTAGCCAAAACATGAGGAAAAGTCAAGGTGCGTGACTGTTGTTTTCGTGGTGTGTATCTAAAACAATTGGACATAACCTTACACATTAAGACAAATATTAAGACTAGCATTACAGTTGACACTAACAGCTCTTTTCCTGTAACCTTGACGTGCCTGCAGTCTGCACTGCAGGCTGAACAGTTAACAGCCTAAGCTAGTCACCCTGTCTGCACTAAACATTACTAGACAACAAATCTCTGAATATCTATCTAACTAAAAAATAACCTAACAAAGCACACCAATGCCTACAAAATGGGGATCAAAAAGAATTCCTCAGTCCAAAGTAACATTAATTGCAGCTAAAGGGAACTGTGGAAGTCAGGACAAGATCTGGTAGACTAAGCTAAAGCTGCTGAGCAGAAAGGTGTCGCTGTCACAGGAATGGTCATGCAAATTCCACTGTGCAGCAGTGAGCTATGCAAAACACTCCTCAGGAGGAAACCTCATCTGTGTCATCATCACTAATCTGAAGCCTGCAGTGAAACATCTGGTTTGAGTTACTTTGAAAACAACTGTGGTGGAGTGATGAAGTTCAAAAGTGAGATCTTTGACCACAATCACCAAAGGTGAGTTAAGAGGAAAATTTACCACCATTAGAAAATAACACCTTGTCAACTGCTGGGGCTGCACGGAAATATGGAACATAGGAAGCACTGCACAGACAGCTGATTGGTTTCTACTAAATAGCAATAAATTCTGGATGTAAATTTACTGCAACTGTACAACGATCCAAAACATATGTTAAAATCCAACATAGACTACTTTAAGAAATGAAAGCTTAAACTTTTAGAACAGCACTCAGTCACCTAATTTGAACATTTAAGCTAAATCTGGAGGTAGATCTTAAATACATCCGACAGCCTAAAGTGATCTGCAGGAAGAGTGGTTAAAACTCCTAAATCAAACAGTGGAAAGACACAGAACTGGCTACAAAATGTATTTCCAAGCTGTGGTATCTGCCAAAGACGAGTCACTAGGTACTCACTAAGTAGGGTGGCCAATCTTTTGCACATGCCACAAATATGGCTTAAAATATTTTTAAGTCCATGAAATAAAAAAGCAGTATATTCACATGTGGAGGTGTTTTTAATATGTTTACTGCAGAAATTGTATTTATTTTTTCTCAGTTCAACAAAATACTGTACCCAAACTTTTGCAATGAAATGTAATATATTATAAAAAAAAACCAAAATGCCAGGTTACACTATGTTCCAATGATATGCTGCCAGTTCACTAAGAGCTCTTTTAGATTGTTATAATTTTTTTATTGACCCATTCTGTCACAGCAACTCCTACAATTGTTGGAAAATGATCTCAGTCCTACAGCTGCCCCAGGCTGTTTCTGCAGATCTCTGCCCAGTATCATCCCTGTGCCACCCAACATGTTTTTTGTTTCCTGAGTTCTCTTGTGTGTGTACAAGTGTATGTGTGTGGAGATGAGAATATAATGGGTGACTTTGGATGAAAGTCTAGATGTCTGTGCCTAATTGCTTGGATTCAAGGGGAGGAGGCTACTAGTGATCATTCCATCCAGCACTCCCTGGTCATCAAATAGGTGTCTCCCAGACTGGCTGGACGGCCGAAGACTTTCTTGCTCCTGTCATCAACCTCCAGTCCACTCTGTGACAGTTTTATTAGCCTTTATGAATTGTGTTCCTTTGTTCGCCAATATGTCAGAGCTGTGTATTTGTAAGTGTGTGACATTGTGTAACTAGGCTATGCTGGCTGGTTGGTTCTGATGTGAGCAGTAGGCTTCTTCCATGTAGGGGTTGAACTGCCACTTTTGTTTCAGTTTCTTTTTTTCCCTTTTTAATGTGCTTAGTGAGTTAAGATTAGTAATTAGGTGTTTTTCTTTCATTTAGGATTTAGGTAACACTCACACAGGACTAGGACCCAAAATTCAGACCAAGGTTATAATGGAGCTCAGAAAGTCTTTATTCAAAGAAGAAGGTACAACAAACCAAAATGTAACTGTGGTGCTAGGAACACTCAGGGGAGTCAGGCAGGCAGTGGAGAACTTGGGGGGAACTGCAGGGCCAGGAACACACTGGTGGGTCAGCGTGGCTGGAGCACAAGAGACACACAGGTGAATCAGGCAGGCGGAAGAATGGAGATGTGGAGGTAAGGAGATGGAGACAGGAGAGTCAACATCAGGAACACACAGCAGATAAGGCAAGACAGGAGATGTACCAGGAGCTCACAGGTAAGGAAATAGGGGCAGTAGAGTTGACATTGTTGCTGGCAAATCCGGAACAAGCAGCTGGTAGTGCTGGACAGGAATAGCGACCGCATCGCAGGAGATTCTGGCACTTACTAGCAAGTAGACGGAGTCAGAAGAGTCATCGGCGTCACTGACAGGTGAGGAACACACAGCAGGTAATGCGGGACAGAAGACAAGCCAATTCAGGAACTCGCAGGTAAAGGCTTTATTCTATTATAAAGCCTCGTCCGGTTCTTTCAAACCAGGAACTCAGAGGGACGACTCAGACCACTTGAGTATATAAAAATATAACCGTGCTGGTTTATTCAAAGAGTCACAGGCAAGAATTAACATTACATTTCCAGAGATCTTCCAACCCCCAGGCTGCCCAAGCAGCCCGGAAGCAGAAAAAGACCCCGAACCAAGAATTGCTATACAATATCATCACTTAATTGGCTCCCCCCCTCCTCCACAGAAACGTCAACCGAGACGTCTCTCTCTCACCAGCTTTGCAGCTGGCTATAACGTTAGCCAAAACATGAGGAAAAGTCAAGGTGTGTGGCTGTTGTTTTCGTGGTGTGTATCTAAAACAATTTGACATAACATTACACATTAAGACAAATATTATGGTCACTTTTACCGTCATAATAACATTTATCCCTGACTGCAGCCTTTCTCTGCTTTAACTAACCTTGCATTTAACAGCCTGAGGAAGACATCCTGGCTACACTAACATCTTCTAATACAACAGATCTCTAATCAATATCTATCTGACTAAGAAATTACCTAACACAGGTGAGGAGATGAAGGTAGAAGTGTTGATAATGTCCTGAATCCGTGCTGATAAACAGGACAAGAAAAGCAGGGCATAGTGAGCCTTGAGAGCGTAATGAACAGCGTGAACATCGGCGTCAATATGTAAACTTTATTAGTGGACAAGCCAGTGACTGAGGGAAAGGAGGAGGTATATATGGGCTGTAGTCTGGGAGAAAATGCGCAGCAGGTGAAAATAATGAATGGTGATTACAATGCCTATACCAAATTATGGAACTCACTTCAGCTCATTTGTAATACTTCATTCAACACACTCACATTAACAGAACGTTCAGATTTATAGGAAGTACAAGGAAATGTTGCTACTGTGAGACAACAAATAATGCTACAGATTCGAGCTAAAGCTCTGCTGATTCAATCAATACAGTTGATGTATCTTCAAAAGTTAATGAGCTATATCTTGAAGCAAGCCATCCGTTATCTACACCACTTATCCTGAAGAGGGTCATGGAGAGCTGGAGCCAATCCCAGCTGACATTGGGTGAGAGGCAGGGTCCACCCTGGGCAGGTTGCTAGTCTAGTACAGGGCTGATATGTAGACAAACAACCACACACACTCACACTCACTCCTATGGGCAATTTAGAGTCACCAATCAACCAAAGCTGCATGTGTTTGGACTGTGGGAGAAAGCCAGAGTACCCGGAGAGAACCCACGCAGGCACAGGGATGACATGCGAACTCCACACAGACACCAGGTCAGCTTGGGATTGAATCCGAAACCTTCTTGCTCTGAGGTGACATTGCTAACCACTGTTTCACCATGCCATCTTATAGAACACCACCATTTCTGAAATATTGTTTTTCTTGAATAATTTTCACTACAAAGAGGCAGCTGTGGCTTAGGAGGTAGAACAGGTTGTCCCTGATTTCTTCAGTCTACAGTGTCCCTGGGAAAGAGACTCGACAGGCCTGACTGTCTTGCCACAATCAGAGATCTTTCGGAAGAGACAACAATCTGGCAACGAGGACACGCCAGCAACAGCTTAAGAAGAATCAGGTTAATTGTCCACAGCTGTGCTAGGCATGCTTCCTCGCCTAGTCTGGCTGCTGACACGTGAGGGGGCGGAGGTGCCAGCTGTGGATGTGATAGTTCCTGAGGCAGGTTAAACTTCCTGAACTGTACAGGACGTATATCCCCTGCTGCACCTTTTTGATGATGATACTGATGTTGGTTGTCCGCTTCAAGTCCCGAAAGCTCAGGAACTTGTAGTACTACATGATTGAAACAGTGCTGCTGAGTATAGTGAGCGGAGATAGGGTGGAACTCCTCCTAAAATCCACTATCACTTCCACTGTTTTCAATGTGTTCAGATCCAGGTTGATAAGACCACACCACAGGGAGAGGTGTTCAACCTCCTTTCTGTCAGTGGACTTGTCACCATCTTGGATAAGGCCGATAACCGCTGTGTCATCTGCAAACTAGAGGATTTTTACAGGGGGTCTCCTGAGGTGCAGTCGTATAAAGGGAGAACAACAGTGGGGAGAGCATACATTCCTGATGGGCACCTGTGCTAATAGTCCAGGTGCTGGATGTGGTTTTCCCCAGCCTCACCTGCTGCTTCCTGTCTGTCAGAAAGCTTGTAATCCACTGACAGATGGGGGCAGGCACAGTGAGCTCGGTTAGTTTGGAGCAGAGGATGAGTGGGTATGATGGTGTTAAATGCCGAACTGAAGTCCACAAATAGGATCCAGTGTCCCTGGTGAGTCAAGATGTTGCAGTATGTAATGCAGTGCTATGTTGACTGCATCATCCACTGACCCTTTTTCTTGGTAGGAAAACTGCAGGGGATCAGTCCATCTTTTCACCATTTTGACTACAGGCTTTGCAGCTTTAAGTTTCTGCCTTCAAGTGGGAATGAGGTGAATCATGCAATGGTCTGAAAGCCCAAGGACTGCAAGGGGAACAAAGCGACATGCCTCCTTAATTACAGTATAGCAATGGTCCAGTGTGTTTTTGTTCCTGGTGGGACAACTAACATGTTGTCTGTATTTGGGCAATTTGTGGGTAAGGTTTGCTCTGTTAAAATCCCCCAAGATAATGAGCAGGGAATCTGGGTGTTTCTCTTCCATACTTATTATCCAGTTGGCTATTAGCTGCAGTGCATTTGTGATGTAGGCCTGTGGCAAAATATAAATACCAACAAAGTTTATAAGGAAAATTCTCTCCCCTCCTTGAACCGCCACCTTATTGTGGTAGAGGGGTTTGAGTACCCGAGTGATCCTAGGAGGTATGTTGTCGGGGGCTATATGTCCCTGGTAGGGTCTCCCAAGGCAAACAGGTCCTGGGTGACGGGTCAGACTAAGAGCGGT